GGAGGGAGGGAGGGAGGAAGGAAGGAAGGAAGGAAGGAAGGAAGGAAGGAAGAAAGGAAGGAAGGAAAAACAGAAGAAGGAGAAGAAGAAGCAAGCAAGCAATAGATGTGGTGAAAAAAAAACAGAAGAAAAAAGAAAAAATAGAATTCTGTATGGGCTGGCAAGATGGCTCAGTGCATAAGAGAGCTCACTCCAGGCCTGACGACCTGAATTTGACCCCTGGGACCCACATGGCGGAGGGAGACAGCTGACTGCCAAAAGCTGTCCTCTGACCTCCATTCACGCCCTCATGCACTATGGCACTTGTGTGAGTATGCACACACACACACACACACACACACACACACACACACACGCCGCGCGTGTGCACACACATGTATACACATACAATAAATAACCGTACTCACAGAAGCAGTATAATCGCTGGTGGAATTCCTGTCACTGCCTAGCCCACTCTCCCTTTCAGCGTCCCAAATCAATCTGACGTTTCCGTTTCCACCAAAGGAACACTGGAGCTTCGCAGACACCAAAGTCTCTCCAGGCAAAATAATGTGGACAAGTTATCAAAACCGAGACATGTCCTGGGTGTGGTGGCACACGCCTTTAATGCCAGCACTCGGGAGGCTGAGGAGGAGGGGGAGGGCCGTGAATTCCAGGCAGCCTCGGTGGCCTTGTCACAAACTTCTGAAGACTAGGCAGGTAGCTTAGTGGGTAGAGCACTTACTGGCATGTGTGAAACTCTGTGCTCCATCCCAAGTGCCACATCAACTGGGTGTGGTGGCATAATGACCCATGGGAGATAATTATTGACAATCACACTGATTAAGCCAATTAAGAGTTGAGAGCCCTTTTTTTTTTTTGAAGGGAAACAGAGGAGGAGTTGATCTGGGGGAGAGGAGAGGTGGGGGAAGGGACTGGGAGGAGTGGAGGGAGGGGAAACCATGGTAGGGAAATAATGTATGAGAGAATAAAAGTTAAAAAAAAAAAAAAGTTTGAAGTCCTTTTTACTGATGGCCAGACCAAGAGCAGGCTTGTGACTCTGAAGACTGTCTTGGGGCCCAAGGTCAGGGATTCAGAGTTTTGAAAGGCAAAATCCCATAAAGACTATAATTTCATCAAAGTTAGGTGAGGGGCGGAGTCACAGAAATGTTTATTCCTGGCACAGCATCATGGTCATTTTAGACACAATTTGCCAACTACTTTGGTTACTACATTTGGACCTTGGTCAAGTCTGTGGAGATCTCAAATGTGTTGCCAAGGCAGATGTGATTATGGGGAGGAAAGGGTAGAGAATTGAGGTCTAAACAAGGACAAAATGGAGTCAGAACAAGATGGGGTTTCCTTAGTCACCTGAGTGGTACACACTGTAATGCTAGAACTTTCAAAGTGGAGACAGGATGATCAGGAACTCAGGGTCATCCTTGGCTACATGGCAAGTTTGAGGACAGCCTGAGCTACAGGAAACCATGTCTCCAGAACAAAGAAATCAAAATTCTCCTCAAAACTGGATGGAAGAGCAAGACTCAGGTCTGCTTGCATCCCTAGCGGGCTGCTTGCTCACACCCGGGCTCCCACAGGCCCTGGGCGCCCTGACAAGGGTTACAGTTTAGCTGTACATCTTGGATGTCTGCTTGGGAACAGCTAAATGAAGCCACATGAGGTGCTCTCCATGGTTGACAGCCGAGGAGCCACGCGTGGCCTGCTCTGCAGGTGTCAGCAGGCCAGCCGGGAGCCACATCAGAAGCCTGGATGGCTGAAATGACTTTAGCTGAAGCTCTAGGGACATGGACACCTAGTGTGCACAGAGTAGCACAGGAAAGGGGGACCTGCCTGAGCTTTCCCTGCCATGACCTGGGGAGGGTGCAAAGTTGGCCGTGTGGCCAGGCATCCTAGGGGCGGCTAGAGCCCCAGCTTAGCAGATCTGTGATGTCGGAGATACCAAGGTGGGGTGATGAGTAGCCCAGACCCATATTAGGACGTGTGATGGGGGAGGGGGGGTCTCCTTTGTCAACCAACTCCTCCACAGACGCTCCACTAAACACCATCTCATTTAAAACTCACCGTTGCAGAAGACAGCCCTTGTAACCGTGGCCGCGGGATAGGCAGGAAGCCAAAGAAGGCAGAGACATCCACCGATTATGACTGCTTACTTCCTAGGTTTCCCGGGGTGGTAAGTGGGAGGCTCTGGGCTTTATATGAGAATGCTAACCTTGAAGCCAGGGTGTTTAATGAGCCACCCACGCCTTTCTGTGACTTCAGAAAAGGACCTCCCAGGGCTGGAGGGATGCCTGCGTGATTGAAGTGCGTGTCGTACAAGTGTGAGAGCCGTATTTCATAGCCTCAGGTCCCATAAAACTGCTAAGTGGGTGTGGTAGGCTGCCTAGCATTCAAGCCCCAGAAGGTAGAGCCAGGGGCTCCCCAGAACAGGCTGACTAGGAAGAGGAGCCATCTCAGTGATCTCTGGGTTTGGTTGGGTGACCTTGCCTCAACGAATAGGGTAAAAAAACAATTAGGGATGATTCCTGACATCCATACACCCTACCCACTCACACATGTCCAAACACACACAAAACCTGTGACAAAACAGTGACCAAAAGCAATTGGGGTGGAGAAAGAGTTTCCTTGGCTTACAGGTTAGAGTTCATCATCTGGGGAAACCAAGGCAGGAATCTGGAGGCAGAAAGTGACTCGCAGACCATGGAGGAACACTGCTTATTGGCTTGCTCAGCCTGCTTTCTTATATATACAGTCCAGGCCCATCTACACCAGGGTGGCCCCACCCACAAAGGGCTGGACCTTCCTCCACCAATTGGCAATTAAGAAAATACCTCCAGACGTGCCTATGGGTCAGTCTATTGGGGGCAGTTCCTCTACTGAGTTTCTTACTTCTCAGATGCATCTAAGTCTGTGTCAAGCTGACAAATTCATGACAGCTCCCTTCTCTCATTTTGACTCTACCTGTACCTATCTGCTTCTCTTGAGGCTCAGTGCGGGGCTCACAATGTTGAACTTGTGGGTGGCATGTGACTTCGGCATCTTAGGAAAGAATGCAAGGAAAGGATATCCAGTTCTGGAAGGAGAACTGGAGGATAACTTTGCATTTCCCAAGGGTTCTTCCTCATGTCCTAGGACCCTGTGACTTCTATG